CATACTTGTGATATCAAATGCGATACTTTTATTTATAATGATTTTTAGGGTGTGGTATTTTAAAAGTATGAATAGTTGTTGAAAAGGTATATCTACGTTTAAGATTTTACAATTTCCTATTTGATAATTTTCTTTTATTGGTATGATTATAGCATGATATTTCAATTAATTGGTAAAGATGGAGTGATATTTGAATAGTATTTTCAGGGGACTAGAGATTTGTTGTGAGTTGGACTCCATCTCTTTTTTTTTTTTTCCTCCCCTTATTTTTCTATTTAGAAAATATATATGAAATGTGGTAAATTTTTTTTAATTATTTTAATGGAATGTGTTAATTTTGAATGTGAAATAATGGATGCATTTTCCTTTTTATTTTTATTTTCCTCATTTCTATTTTAGGAGGTTCAGAACAGGGATAAGAACCATATTATGCAACAAGAATCAAAGTTCAAAATAGATTGATGTATCTATCATGTCCCCCATACTTGGAGAAATAGCATGTGGAGATGGGCCTGCAAATTGGAATTATGTTAATTATGTTATTGCCTTTGGCATCAAATGTGTCCCAAAACATTTCTTATTCTGCACAATTATTTTTATTCCCACTCACATAATGCTATCATGGACAAATAGTATGAAATGTTTTATGTAGTTTCTTAGGGGGATTGTATTGGAAGTTTTGGTTTATCGAGCCAAAACGAGTCGATCTGAGTTTCTTAGGGACAAATAGTATGAAATGTTTTATGTAGTTTCTTCGACTGCAAACGAGCAGATCTGAGTTGAACATGATTTGCCTTATTGAGCCGGAGATTAAGCTCGAGCTCGACGTGCCTGTCTTGCTCGATGTTCGGTTTGACCTAACAATAAAACACAAATACTCGAGTTCAACTCGCAAATTTCAATTAAAAAATATTTTGTTAGGAGTATTTAAGTAATCTTATGTATGCGAAAACGAATAATGATCGATATTGTGTTCGTGAGATTGCGATCTCATTTGTATCCTTCTCATTCGTATGTTCTCTTAAATCAGACTCGCAGTTGATTATCATGAGAGATGTTGTGGATCATCTCCTGGGCCAAAAGAATGTTATCACTAATGACTCGATCTTTGATGAACCCATTATAGTTCGGAGAGATGGGAGACGGAAAGAGAGGAACAAGGCGCTCGTCAAGAATTTTGGAGATAAGCTTATGTTGAATGAGGACGATTTCCATATAAAACAACATCATAAAGTATAATGAATGATATTTTAAGTATAATGTATGATATTTTATTATATA